ACAGCAAATTCAAATATTATTAACTATTATGAAAGACAATATGAATAAAATTTGCGAGATTTGTAGCGATAAAGCATTGGGTAAATAATTTTTAAAATGAATTATTCTTACAAATGAATTATTTTCTAAGTGAAATTTAATTTATTAAGCCATTCATGAGTTTGTGTAAACTAATTATATTAATTGTTTATTAATTATGACCAAAATCGTGATGTCCTTTAGGCCGACACTTCGGTGCCATTGCTTGTGAATTGTGTAAAGCATTCTTCAGGAGGAATGCACTCAAAAATAAGGTAATATAAAAGGGACACAAAAATATTGACAAATATCTATACTTATGAATTGCTCACAATTCATGCGAATAGGTTTGGAAATGCCTTTCGGATGGAAAGTGTAAAATAACTCCAAATACTAAAACCCTATGCAAGACATGTAGACTTCATAAGTGTTTTGCAGTGGGTATGAGAAAGGTGAGTGAATGGTGGAGCACTATTCAAGCAAAACATAACTCGCATATTATTTTGATTTATGATGTTTGTATGGATAGGAATTGATACTAAATGATGAGGAAAGGGAGCAAAGGAGACAATTACTCGAAGAAAATAGACGCAAACGAAAGGCATTAAATGAAAGTCAAAACACATCCTCAGAAGTCAATGTGTCTTCAAATTCACAATCACTTGAGTCGACCATTTCTGGTGATTGTGGTGACAGTGACTCCTTAGATGCCATAATAGGATGTGTTTCGGATGATACCGATGAGGACCTGAGCGCACAAATTATGGAAATCGAAAATTATGTCAATAGTGAGCACTCGGACCACAGTATTGAGGCATTGGGTGATAGGCTTATGTTAGAAGATATCAAACAGAGGTCAACAAAAGTAGCTATCATTCCTATGTTTAAAGGTCTCACAGATTATACCACTTTGAATGAATTGGAAATCAATAAACTTGGAGAGTTATTGAGCTTGTCCAAAATATTTGAGTACCCATCCAGCACAAATTTATTAAAACTTACGGACATAACAGAATACTTTAAGATCTCTAATAAAAGACTGGAAGTGACTGTTAAAGAATTTCTGAGTTTTAGCAAAGGGTTGAGTGGATTCACTAATGTATGTCCTGATGACCAGTACACCCTATTTAAGTATGGGTGCTCTGAGATGTTGCTTATTAGATGTCTTATGTATTATAACCGGGATGGAGAATATTTTAACTTTTATATGGTAGTCAACATTGAATTTAGGATGCATTTATAATAGACAGTAATATACAGTTATATAAAGTATTGTATTTTTCATAGGATAACGACACCTCACTTATAGTTAATTATGATTCATTTACTGCCGAGATATCCAGGTCTTATTTGATGTTTAAAAATGAATTTAAAGATTATTTGAACAAGATTCTACCGCTATGGAACCGGGACCGTATAATATTGGAATTGGTATGTTAATTAGCTCTAGTAAATTTAATTTTAATTACTTAAAATATTTTGGTTATATACTATTTTCAGCTCAATGCTATTGCACTGTTCAATCCTAATCGACCAAATCTTAAACATAGAAAAAAAATTAAGTAATGTATTTGTATTATGATCTTAATAGTGTTATACAATAATTAACAATTAAATATTATTTTTAATTTAATAGACTCGAACAGCAATTATATATCTATTTATTGAAAAGATATTTACTATTAAAGTGTCGATCGGATTGTGATTCTCAGGAAAGGTTGTGTCAACTAATGAACACTTTCACCGATATCTACAAAATAATTGAAACACAAAAAGTGTATAATATTGGAGAGAATGAAATATATTCGCAAACATATGGACCACTAATGAGGGAGATATTTGATTTACCAGCATCGAAATAAAATTTGACTTATATACAAGTAGAAATAATCAATATAATTAAAAACATTCAGATAGTAAATAATTACAATTTACTTTTATCAATCATTAAACTTGTTAAAGTAATGAATTAATAAATATTCAGTAAATATATAGCTTTTAATACCGGTAATAAATGTTCATTTTGTTTATAATTACTTAAATCATCAAATTTTGCAATACAAAAATCATTTTCACATTTATCAATTTATTGTAACTTATTAAACAATTTAATGTTAAATATAATGGTTGCATCATTTATTTATATATATTCCTGGCTATAGTGATTCAATTGTGTAAATGTTGTAAAACAATATTTCCTTTTTGGTTACTAATAAAATAAATGCAAACAATCGCTTAGTGAACTTATCTACCAGATCAGTCTAAAATGGTTTCACTATAAGCCCATTATACAACATATTTCCTTAGAATTACACATAAATTTTTATTATTAATAAATTGTGATTATTTTTCATTGAAACCATTAAAAAAGAAAATTGCTAATATTTACGTTTTGGAGTCAAATAATTTCAATTAAATATTTTTCTGTTAAATAAATACATAGTATTGTATTGTACATAATATTGTACATAACATCATCATATATTGTGTAATCATCAGTCACAGTTAATGGTTGCCACATAAATATTTGACAACAAATTCAAATATTATTAACTAATATGAAACACAAAGTTAATAAAATTTGTGAGATTTGTAGCGATAAAGCATTGGGTAAATAATTTTTTTAATTAATTATTCTTACGAATGAATGATTTTGTTAGTAAAACTTAATTTGTTAAGTCATTAATGAGCTTGTTTATAGTAATTATAAGAATAATTATTAAATATTTATTAATTATGAAAAATTGTGATGTCCTTTAGGCCGATACTTCGGTGCCATTACTTGCGAATCGTGTAAAGCATTCTTCAGGAGGAATGCACTCAAAAATAAGGTAATATAAAAGGGACACAAAAATATTGATAAATATATATATACTTATGAATTGTTTAAAATTTATGTGAATAGGTTTGGAAATGCCTTTCGGATGGAAAGTGCAAAATAACTCCAAATACTAAAACCCTATGCAAGACATGTAGACTTCATAAGTGTTTTGCAGTGGGCATGAGAAAGGTGAGTTAATATTGGAGTACTATTCAAGTAAAACACGATTAGTATATTATTATGATTTAAGATTGTTTGTTTCGATAGGAATTGATACTTACGGACGAGAAAAGGGAAGAAAGGAGACAATTAGTCGCAGGGAATAGACGCAAACGAAAGCTATTGAATGAAAGTCAAAACACATCCTCAGAAGCAAATGAACCCTCAAACTCACAATCACTTGAGTCAATGATAGCCAGCCCTCTGTTGCCACCGATTAAGTCGCCCGTCAGTATCACACCTAATAAGGACTTGAAGTCGGCGCTCACTTACCGCCGAAGACTGTTTGATGTCTATGAAGACGTGGTGGCGGCTTTCGAGAGGTTTACGTTTTTTGTGGACAAACGAAAGGACAATCACGCGAGCGGATCCCTAGTGTTACCCCAGAAGTTCAAACTGTTGGCCGAAGTGTTCAAATCGATGGACACTGTGGTGTCGATGCACTACAAGCGCCAAGAGATCTGCACTTTCGATAAACTCAAGAATTCCGTGGAGAGGATGACGGCGAAGAAGTTTGACACCAAAAGGTTGGCACAAATACAGACAGTCTTCGGCACCGGATTTAAGCTGAAGTACGAATTGTTCTCGAGTTATGCGGAGCGCCGGAAACCCAGCTATCAGTTGATAATAACTCCGGTGTATGACTCGGATGTGGACATACGGACCAATTCTATACACCTCTTGGAGAGGTATCAGCGGTTTGTGGCGAAACTCGTAGACATCACGAAAGGCCACCACAAGAAGTATTTGCATGCATTGGGTCTTAATGTAGACGACAAAGAGCTGGTCCGATGGCACCCGAAGTTTAGGGTGGACTCCGTGCCAGACGTCACGCCCGATGACAACACACTGCCAGCGGAACCACGACTCGGAGAGAAGACCGCCGAAGAGGTCTTGGCGAACATCAGACAGCGATTAGGTATATCATCGACGACTGTCACCGCGGATGACGACAAAAACAATGACACGAACTCTAACGACAATAAGACGTCTGATACTAATCAGAAGATTACGAAAGGATTACTTAAAGGCATTTCAATGAATCTGTTAAACAAAATTAGGGCCAAAGAAGAGGTAAATAAGGCAAAAGAGATGACCCGAAAGCCCGAAGTGGAGACAGAGCTCGGGATATTGCGATCGTTACCTGAATTCATACGAATAATTCACAGCTATATCGTGGGCTCCAAGAAGTTGGCCGTACCTTACGATCAACTCATCGACAAACTGATCACCAGTTTCACGAGCAGTCTGTCTATACTGCGGGCTAAGGAGCACATGAGCTACCTGTGCCGCTTTATGCCCGACTGGATCTGTCAGTTGGAAGTGAAAAAAGGGAATTACATTAAAATCAATAAAGAAACCACACTTTCAACACTGGATCAGCAAATCAAAACAATGGTTAATCGCCTGAAGGACTGAATTATTTGTATTACCATTACTTGGATTTTAATTTTTATCACACATTGTTTTTTATGTCAGATTTACTTTAATTTTATTTGTATTTTATATTACTTTTTAATTGCAAACCACTCTAATAGCGGTTTATTATACAAATCAATCGATACTTAAATACTGTAATCCGGTTTTATTTTTTTTTATAAAACGAATGTTAATTTAAACTTTCAGTGAATAAATTTTAGTCATTGCCATCAATAAAGACGATTTCTGGTAATTGTGGTGAAAGTGACTCCTTGGATGCCATAATAGGGTGTGTTTCGGATAATACCGATGAGGACCTGAGCGCACAGATTATGGAAATTGAAAATTATGCCAATATTTTTCGGACTCGGCAAAAGCACTCGGACCACAATATTGAGGCATTGGGTGATAGACTTATGTTAAAAACACGACAAATAGCTATCATTCCTATGTTTAAAGGTCTCACAGATTATAACACTTTGAATGAATTGGAAATCAATAAACTTGGAGAGTTATTGAGCTTGTCCAAAATATTTGAGTACCTGTCCAGTAAACACTTGTTAAAACTGAAGGACATAACACAATACCTTAAGATTACTCCTAAAAGATCGGAAGAGACTGTTAAAGAATTGCTAAGTTTTAGCAAAGGGTTGAGTGGATTCACTAATGTATGCCCTGATGACCAGTACATACTATTTAAATACGGGTGCTCCGAGATGTTACTTATTAGATGTCTTATGTATTATAACCAGGATGGCAAATATTTTAAATTATATGTGGTATTAATTATTGAATTTATAAAAATATTTTGATACACTTTAATATATAGTATTGTTTTTTCATAGGATAATGACATCTCAGTTATAGCTAGTTTGGATTTATTTAATGACGAGATGTCCAGGTCTTTTTCTATTTTCAAAAATGTATTTAAGGATTATTTGTGCAAGTTTCTACCCCTATGGAACCGGGACCGAATAATATTGGAATTGGTAAGTTAATTAGCACTAGTAAATTTAATTTTAATTACTTTGGTTATATGGTCATATACTATTTTCAGCTCAATGTTATTGCCCTGTTCAATCCTAATCGACCAAATCTTAAACATAGAAAAAACATTAAGTAATGTATTTGTATTATGATCTTAATAGTATTGTACAATAATTATTGATTTCCATTTAATAGACTCGAACAACAATTATATATCTATTTATTAAAAAGATATTTACTATTGAAGTGTCGATCTGATTGTGAATCTCAGGAAAGATTATGTAAACTAATGAACACTTTCGCCGATATCTACGAAATAACTGAAACACAAAAAGTGTATAATATTAGGGAAAATGAAATATATCCGGATCTATATGGGCCACTAATGAGGGAGATATTTGATATACCAGCACCACAATAACATAACATTTAATTTATTGTATTAAAAATCTTGTTAAAAATTTAGTACATTAATTATTACATGTTTTTAATAAAATATTTAATTCATGTATTAATTTTTTGTGATAATTTGTAAATTCATTTTGTTTATAAATATAAAAGAATATAAATATGATTTGATTTGAGATAACTGTCCTTCAATATGTTATTTCAGTATTTATGATATTATTTGTATGAATTATAAGTAATTGACAACTAATGCAAAACTATTTGACAAATAACAGTAAATTTAATATTAACTAAATTTACTTAATATTTTGTATTATTAGTAACATATGAATTACTATGAAATAAATTAATATCACTTAAAACTCCCTCGTATATGATCAAATCAAGGTTATTTATAAGTTAGATTAAATAATATTTGTAGCTTGATTGTGTAATTGTGTTGACAAAATATTATTTAGATTACATTATTTAAAATGATTATCATTTCAAATTAACTATGTCACTAAAATGAGTTATAATAAAAGTACACTTAAGTGTGAAGTTTGTGGCGGTAAAGCAATTGGTAAAAGTTGTTAAAATTATAATATTTTGTTCACATAATTAAATATTTTTAATTATTAATGAATTCAATTCATAGGACGAAACTTTTTCGCATTTACGTGCGATTCGTGTAAGTATTTCTTTAGACGCTATGCACTCAACGATAAGGTAGTTATCATTTGAATATAATAATTAATATATAAATAGAAACAATTTATTAATCCAATAGCCATTTAAATGTCCAACGAGTGGGAAATGTGTTATAAACCCACAAACAAGATCTTTGTGCAAGAAATGTAGACTTCATAAATGTTTTGAAGTTGGAATGAGAAAGGTACCTACAGTAATTACAATTGTTTTTGATTTATTGTATTAATTATAAAATTAATTTTAGGAATTAATACGAAGTGATGCCGAAAATCAATTGAGAAAACTTGAAGTCCGGGAGAATAAACGCAAACTAAACTTATTAATCAAATACAAGAACTCTGTTGATTCAGAATATTCTGGTTATTCAACAAGCAGTTTATTACCACGGTCATATGGAAATGATGAAAGGGATTTTATTTTAGATTTAATTGAAAATACTCTGAATATAAGTGATGAACAGATTAAGGAAATTGAAAGCTATTTGTCCCTGACCACATCAAATACTTACCTATCATTAGATGAGATATTAGCAAAATATGAGAAATTCTTTATAACTCCTGTATTCAGAGAACTCGTGGATTATAACGGGTTGAATGAATTGGAGTCCAATCGGATATCCGAGTTATTAAACGCGTCTAAAATAATAAACAATCCCATGACTAAAAATAATTTTATAATAACTGATTGGGAAGAGTTAGTTAAAGTGACATCTTATAGGACCGAGGTGCAGATCCAAGAATTTATAAATTTTTGCAAAACATTTAATGGATTATCAAATCTATGTCCAACTGATCAGTCCATATTAATTAAGTACGGATTAATGGAGTTATTTGTAATCTATCATCTATTATGCTATAATAAGGATACTCAGAAATTTACATTATATTTAGTAAGTATACAAATTACCTTATTAAATGTATTATACTGTATATTATATAAAACTTGTAACTAGGATGATGAGAATTCTGTGATCGTTGGCTATGAGTATTTTGAATATAAGGACATTGATTATTTGCATATTATGAAGGGCTTATTAAACAGATTATTGCCTGAAATTAAACGAGATTTTGTTATAAAAAACTTGGTAAGAATTTTATACTAAAAATATATTAACATAGTTATTTTATGTAAATATTCTGTATTATATAATCAGGTAATTGCAATAGTAGTGTTTAATCCGAATCGACCTAATCTTAAGCATAGACATACTGTCCAGTAAGTCATAGAAATTGATCAACATAGTTTTATTTGTAATGTTAATGCTTATTTCATAGACTCGAACAACAATTGTATGTATATTTGTTGCAAAAATATCTATCAATGAAATATCAAATGGAATCGAAGTTGAAACTACAAAAACTCATGAATTCATTGAGAGACGTATGTGTACTAGGTGATATTCATTTCATGTATGGAATAAAAGATTATATGGATTATTATCACTATTTCGGACCACGTATGAGATTATGGTTGAATGAATAAATTATAATTTTGTTGACATGAATATTAATAAACACTATTTAATCATTATTCTCAGAAATACAAATACAGTAAAAGCAATAACACAATGCATTTATAATTATAATACAATTTGATAAAATAAACTTCAATTTAAACTAAAATTTAGCTTACTTTAGATTACTATAATTGATTATTTAGACATGCAATTAGATTGAAAGTAACTTTTTTGGTAAGTTCTTTGGATTTTAGGAATATTTTACAAATATTAATGAGTCTTGAGCTCATTTTGACCATATTTTATATTAATCCATTTATAGAGCCAAACAGGACTAGGGCAAAATACGATAAGGAGTACCATGGGTAAAATTGTCGATTAACAATCCAAATACAATACTTTAAGACATAAACAAAATCTAATACACCAAATAATTCTAAGTAATTTAAAGGATACATAAAAATAAAATTGATTTCAAATTATAAACCGATTAAATAATATACTGTAGAATCAAATTGACTCAAGGTCTTGTAAGCTAAAACTTGAAATATTAGTACCCAATGGTATTGTAAACCTAATTACTTTTAAAAGGAATTTTATAATAAAAATCTTTTCAAGTTATAAATGAGTAAAAACGGAATCAAAGGCTCAATTAGCGATGGAGTGTCTGCTGATATCCTCAAGTTTCAGGTTCTTAAGCGTCAAATCAATCTCTTCTTCGACCACTTTAGCGACCATTGAAGAGACGGCTGATATGAGGAGACAAACGAAACCCAATTTAAAGCACCCGTTTTGCTGTAAGTAATGGCTAGTAGTGCCACTTAAAGTGGACACCGTCTTGAGGGCGGCGGTCATTATATCCTTAAAGGTGTTCACCTGTGATGACCACCCGATGCCATACTTCCAGAACGTGGAGTAGTGCTCGCAGTTCAGTGACTTTAGACAGTATCTGAAAATAGTGTCTTTCATTCGGTGAAGAGTCGCAAACACTTGATCCAAGTCTGGCAACTGATTGCCAGTAGTCTTCAACATCTCCGAAGCCATGATCTCCTGGTTATTGATCCGACAGAGCGATGGCTGCGGACTATCCGTGTCTTTGAGGATATCCTCCAACGGCTCGTATTTAAGCAGCGCTTTGCCATTGAATGACATCTCTTTGCGGACACCAGTCCTCGTGAGGTCAGTGTCCCCGTGACCGGCATCTCCATCATCAACAGCGGTGATATGAAAGCACATGACATTCCCGTAGTGGTCGACCGACTCGAAGAACACCCAATGCCTGTACCCACCCCTCAATACTTCAATCAAATCGCCGCGACTCAAGAGGAGTTTTACTCTGTCGTACTCCAAGAATGAGCCAGTTCGTCCGAATGAACCCATAGACTCCGATGAAGCCATTGATACACTTTTGGACTCAACTGATCCCATTGTCACCCAATTTGTATGATTCAGCAAAAGTAGTGTTTCGTTGTATCACTTTATGTAACAAAAGGTGTGACACCTAACACATCATGTGATCTAATCATAGCATTGCCATCGCTATAGGAATCAAACGCTAATCCATTGGGAACTACTTCTTAAAGAAATATACAATGTCCAAGATAAATTTTTTAACTTAAATAGATTGGCTAAGAATTAAGGATTACTTGTATGTATTAATAAATAAATAATTATCGACTTTAAAAGTAAAAATTTATTTATTTTCTTTAAACTATATATTTAGATAAACAGTATTTAGCGATTTAAGTCAAAGTTGTAAACATAGATTGTGTTATATTTAAGGAATGTTTTTGAATATATTTAACTGATTGTTTATCAGATATAAATTTTTTATACAGTATGATAGGCTTACAGAGTAAATAAAATTTCGCATAAAATAAATACTGTACTATTTTTCACTAATAATTATAACTACTATTAACTTTATAAAATACAAATATTAACAAAAAAATAAAATAAATCAATATAAATTGCACATAAGCTTAGAATAATGTGTGATCATAAAATTTGCCAGATATGTGATGATAAAGCAATTGGTATGTAATTATTTATATTATCGTTACTATTAAATTAAAATAAACTTTAGCTAGAGTAAATTTTATTATTATATTTTAATAAAAATTACTTAATTATAAATCTTATTATAAATCACTTTAAAGGCAGAAATTTCTTTGCCATAACCTGCGAGTCGTGTAAAGCATTCTTCCGGAGATATGCCCTCAAGAATAAGGTTTAAAATTAAATTTCAAATTATAATACAATTAATAATTTTGAATTATATTAATAGCCATTTGAATGTCCATCGAATGGCAAATGTATGGTAACACCAAAAACACGACAATTGTGCAAAAAATGTAGACTTGAAAAGTGTTTTACAGTGGGAATGAAAAAGGTAATTATTATTAACAAGGTATCTTATTTAATGACTAACCATTACATTAGGAATTGATACGAAGTCGTGAAGAAAATCAATTACGATATCTTCAGGTCATTGAAAATAAACGCAAACAACAAACGATTCAAAACACAGATTCTGTGGATTTCAGTCATTCCACCAATTCTTGTGTTTCAATGACTACTCAAACAGACGTTGTGAATGACTTTATAACTGAATTGATTGAAAATACACTTAATATTAGTGATTCTGAGCTCAATGAACAGATTATGGACATTGAAATGACAATTAATACACCGAAAAACATTCAAACCTATGATGAGATTTGTCACAAATATGCACAAATGTCTGTGAGTCCCATATTCAGAGTAATACCCGATTATGAGGGCTGGAAGGAGTTGGAGTATAATAGGATATCAGAGCTGTTATGTGCATCAAAGTATTTAGCCAGTCCATTAACTAAATATAAGTTAAAACTTAAGGACAGGGATCAGATTGCGAGATTGACTACTAATAAGACTGAGGGTCATATCCAGGGTTTTGTAAATTTCTTCAAAGATTTAAATGGATATTCAAATTTGTGTTTTACCGATCAATTTGCCCTGATCAAGTATGGTGGTGTGGAATTGCTGGTTATGCATAATTTAATGTGTTACGATTGTGAGACAGGATATTTTATGCTGAATGTGGTTAGTAATTAATACAATACAATTGACATAAAATTAATATGCTTAAAAATAACTAATACAGTATTAACCTCGATAACTTATTCATATATCTTAGGATGATGAGACTTCAGTTCTTGTTGATATTTATCAGTTTGAAATTGAAAGTACCCCGAATATAAGTTATGTGCATATTATGAAGGACTTGTTAGTTAAAGTGTGGCCTGAATTGGAAAGTGATCCCGTTATTAGAAACTTGGTATTTATAGTGCTATTTTTAAAATTCATTTTAAGTTTATTTTATTTTGAACTCAGTTTACGGCTATAATACTGTTTAACCCGAATCGACCCAATTTAACGCATAGACATAATGTCCAGTGAGTAGCTAATATTTGTGAACAGGTTAAATTGATATTAATTACCTTGATCTATTTTGTAGACTCGAACAACAGTTATACATATATTTACTGCAAAGATATTTACTATTAAAATGTCGATCGGAATCGGAATCAAAACTACAGAATCTGATGGAATCACTCAAAGACTTCAATACTCTAAGAGAAATACAAATGACATTTGGATTACAGGATTGTAAACAATATTTCGGACCTCTTATTAGGGAAATATATGATTTCGACAATAACTACAATACAAATACTACGGTAATTACAAAAATTAATTTATCTAATCTTATACCGTAGTAAGAAATGAATTTACATAAACTAAATTTTATATACAGTGCTCGGTATACAGTATATACGATGTCCAAAATTAGTTTTTAAAAATTAGATATGTTATAATTGTTTTAAATTAAAGATTACAAAACAATAGATATATATGTATACCGTATACGGTAATGCTAAAAGTACGGTATAAAATATTTTATTAATAGTATTTATCAGGGTTATGCAAAAGTTTTGATAGGTAGAATATAATCAGTAAAAGTTCATTTATTTTTGAACCAGATAATTTAAATAAAAAATATAAATATGAGAAACATGGTTTTTAAGCCTATATAGCCTGCCTAAGTTATAATTTTATGTGAGCACCGGTATCATAACACAGGTAGTTTTTGTAAAATGTGCTATAACTCAAAAACTATCAGGCTTATCTCTGCTAACGATACGCCATTTGAAAGAGAATTAAAAATTAGGAAATCCATTAAAAATTATTTTATCTCTATATCAATACCAACAGGACAGGGAGGGCGGGTAGCTTCAAAAAATTGATTTTTAAACAATTGCAGAATTAAGACTATTAGTGATAGAGAAAAGTTGTTTGGTGGAAAATGTGCAGGTTTAAATGCTGTATCGATCGAAAATATTCTGTTGATTTAGAGCACCGGGAGGAAAGGGTGTTTTTATTAATATTTTTATAAATGGACTTATAAAATAAGTAATTAGTGCATCGAATAGAGCTAAAAACTAACAAATAATGCATTTTAAATTTTAAAAATATCTTGCTATATAACATTTATATGGCATTTTAAAGTTCCATTATTTATTGTTAATAATGGAATTTTGAAATGACCTAGAGTAGTTATATAATGAGATATTTTTAAAAATTTTAAATGCAAAATTTGTTAGTTTTTTTAGCTCAATTCGATCCACTAATTAGATATTTCATAAGTAATATTTAGTATAATATTGTAATATTTGAATTAACATTTTAAAATAAGTATAAATGAATTAATTCAAAGATTCCGGGAATAACACAAATTTAATGAAATATATCACAATTCTGTAATTATAGCTGAATTATAATTTGATTGAATATCGAGAACATGAGATAATTATAGACATGTTTGCTTTCTTATAGATTATAAGTTATAAGTAAATTTTAAAAGGTTTAAATTAATTCTGTTTATAATTTAAATATTTTCTAATTAATTTGCAAATTAATTTTTAATTGACATTGGCTTGATTAATTAACTGCTTTCAAACAGCTAACTTAATATATTTACTATTAGTTTACAATTTCAATATCAGATAAATATAATAATGAATGAATAATATACAAATTTATTTGTTAACTAACCTTGAAATAAATAAAACTTATCATAATAATCACAATTAAATAAAATAAATTTATTATTTGAACTACAAATCATTAAATTATTGATTACCGAGAATTGTAATTAATGTATAAAATTATTATTTAATATATCATCTGATATTGAAATTGTAAACTAATAGTAAATATATTAAGTTAACTGTTTGAAAGCAGTTAATTAATCAAGCCAATGTCAATTAAAAATTAATTTGCAAATTAATTAGAAAATATTTAAATTATAAATAGAATTAATTTAAACCTTTTAAAGTTTGCTTATAACTTATAATCTATAAGAAATCAAACATGTCTATAATTATCTCATGTTTTTAGGATTTTTATCAATTCAATTGTATAATCAAATAAATTATTTTGATATAATTTAATTCAAACCAACGCCAATCAGATTGCTAAATTTATAAATTATTATTGAAAGACATTCATTACATATAGGCAATCATGATATACCTTTGTACAGTATAAAATAGATTATGTCAGATCAATTCAATTAGATCTCAAAAACATGTTTACAGTATTTCTTACAAATTAGTGCAAGTTTTGTACTTTTAGTGCAAATGCAAACAACTCAGTTATTTAACTGTAGTCTAGAAAATCATAGTAAATTAATAATTATACAATTAATAAGCTTATTTTCTGTATAATAAATGTACTAGATAAATGAATTTAATCACAATTCAAATTAATATAAGTTTATAATTTATTCAAAATGTCAACTAAACTAAAAAGTTGTATAGTCTGCGGTGAAAGTGCTAAGGGTAATTCTCAATTAGGGAATTTACAATTATTTAAATCATAAATAAATTTACTAAAGCTACATACTGTTACTTAATAAAAAAAACTAAACTAATCCCGATTACAGGCTATAATTTTGGTGTCATTACATGTCAATCGTGTAAAGCATTTTTCCGGAGAAGTGCCCATAAATTCAATGTATGATAACATTATTATATAAATAATACGTTTAATAATAATATGTTTATAACAAACTCAGACAATACAGAGTCGTAAATGTGGATTTGGAAACAATTGCGATATAAATGTCTTAAACAGAAGATATTGCAAAAAATGTCGACTCAATAAATGTTTTGCCGTAGGAATGAGAAAGGTATTTTCCATATGAATATAATTGCAAAGTATTTGTTAACAAATATTTTTATTTTTAAGGAAAGGATTCTCAATGAAAAGGAAAAGTTTTTAATGCGAAAGAAAATCGAGGAAAACAGGATTAAGAGACTAAACATGTGGTCAGACACCAAACTAATTGAACCTACAGTTAGCCCAGAATCTGGTTATTCATTAGAATTAGCTGACTGTATAATAAATGATAGTCAAGTGGACAGTCGTGTTTTAAGTGACGAAGAAATGTGTGAATACATTAAGCAAATCGAGAATTTCTGCTCAAATGAGTCCATAAATGAGAATAATATTAACATAACTAATGGTGCGAACAGTGATTACATGAATATTTATGAAACAAATACTATAATCAATGAGCAAATTATTACTGAAATCTCAAACTCAAGTGAATCTAATACTATTGATACAAATGAATCTGAAACCCCTAATGAACTGGACAGTGGTTTAGAAATGACAGCATTTACCCACCCGTCCACTCAACACACATTTACAAGCTTTAATTGTATCAACAAATACCAGAATGAAATCAATTATCTGAAGGAGTTATTGAATACTTTGAACCCAATGGAAAGGATTCAGTTCATGAATAATAATATTAATTCAGTTGGAAATACATTTAATTCAGACGAGGAGTTTATGATACACTCGACCATAAACTTTGACTCATATATAAACAAGATCATTGCCGCCACTACGAGTTTAAAGGGTTTCCAAGACATTTGCCCCGACGACCAATTAACCCTGGTCAAATATGGCTGCATTGAAATGAAAATGTTGAGGGCAATCATATTCTATCGTTACGAATACCAATGCTGGGTTGTCGAGGTAGTTCACTTAGTTTATTGATTTATTAAATAAAGTATACATTTTTAATTAATTACAGGAAAACAATGCTACAATCAAGTTCAATTTAAATTTATTTAAAGATTTCAAATATAACAACATATATACAGTCTTAAAGGATTGTCTGTTAAAAGTTGCCAATGAGTTAGACTGCGATCATCTCATACTTATTCTGGTATTTATTTTATTAATTATTTTTATTATAAATTAATAACTGGTATTTATTGACAGTTACTGCCAATAGTACTGTTCAATCCGGAAAGACCTAACATTATTCACAGAGAAGTGGTTATGTATGCAAACAATTATATTTAGTATTTTTAAATTAAATTTATATCTAATTGTGTATTTTTATCATAGATTTCAACAACAATTATACGTGTATTTATTGCAACGATATTTAAGCATAAAATATGGCTCCGAAAGTGCTGTGAAGACGAAATTTGAAACGATTTATAACTTATTGATATCCAAAAGTTACAGGAATTATATAAACAACACTTTCAATTAATTAATTCTCAATATTATGGACCACTTTTGAAGGAGATTCTTGATGTACAAGCTAATTATAATCATTATAATATTATATACAGTAGTAAATAGCTAACTATTTTTAATCTATAGAGTTTATTTTCAAGATCAAATGATAAATATTTTGAGTTTAATTGCAATCATTAATGTTAGTGTTTTATTTATTTGAAATCTATTACCAGTAAGTATATAAATTAATTATATCATTTGTAATGAATATTAATTTAATGTGAAAAGTTAGTAACTAATAGTTACTTTTAAAACATGTTTTTTCAAGTTTTATTATTTAACTCTGGTGTAATTATTACTATTAATACCTTTATAGACAATGCACTCAATGTGCACTTAACGTACTGTACTAAATATACTTGTAGCACAATTTAATCATAAATATTAATGAAATATAGCATATACTATGATTAAGATTTTCAAACATGTACATTAAATCAGAAATGGATGTTCCTGGGATGAACTGATTAAAGGTAACAATTATATGACAATTAATTAAATATACAATAATTTACTTAAAAATAACAATATCACTTAATATTATTAAAAACTAAATATAGCCTTAATGGTTATAGGCAATATTTTTCGTGTCATAACACGTGAAAAGTATTGTTTCGAAAAAATGCCCACAAATCCAATGAATGTTTCAATCAATCTATAATTCATTCCCATACTGTGTATGAATTAAATTTACATTTTCATAAAACTCAATGTCAATCAAGTTTGAATTTTTAAATTACATAGGGGGTTTGATTATAAATTAAATTAATTTATAAATATTCAAAACATTTATTAGATTTGACTCAATGCTCAGGAAGATCTTAACATACCTTATGTAGTTAAATAAAATAGACTGTCCCAGATCAATCAATTTTTATAGTTTAGTAGTAGCTTTTTCAAAAACAGGTTTATTGTGAGGTTTTTTAAATATTAGTGCAACTTTTGAAGTCTATGTTTCATTTAAAAAATAATGCACCTAAACTTGTTCACTAAACGTGCAAACATGTAATACAATTTAATGATTCAGAAAATTAAAATAAAATAAAGTAATTTATTTGTTTATAATGTCAACGAAATTAAAAGTTTGTGTAGTTTGCGGGGAATGGGCAACAGGTAAGAAATATTGCTATTATTTGAATGCTAATTTGTAATTTACAAATATTTACTTAATTATTAGCTGATCAACTGTAATGTTATTATTTATATAAAACTAAATAAATGTTAATTATAGGCAATAATTTTGGTGTCATTTCGTGTGAATCGTGTAAAGCATTCTTCAGGAGAAATGCCCACAAAACATATGTACGACTAAATCAATTTGTAAACAATTTGTTAGTTTATTAATAGTAATATTTGTTTGCTAATTATTTACTAAAGGGACTCAAATGTATGTTTGAAAACAATTGTTACATAAATGTGGTAACTAGAAAGTTTTGCAAACAATGTCGACTCACTAAGTGTTTTGCAGTTGGGATGAGAAAAGTATGACATGAATACAAATTTAAATATAAAGTTTTATAAGTTATAAATTATAACTATTTTTATGTCTAAGGAATGGATACTTACTGACAGGGAAAGGGATATAAGGCGAAAGAAAATCGAGGAAAATAAGATCAAGAAACTAAACAAGTATTTAGACACTTGTCTAATTGAACGGACAGTTAGTCCACAATTGTGTGAATATTCAGAAAAAGCAATAAATTCAGATGTGGACAGTCGTGTTATTAGTGATGAGGACTTGTGTGAATATATTAAGCAAATCGACAATTTCTACTCAAATGAATACATCGATGAAATCAATGTCAGCGGAGTTGGTGATGCAAATCATGAGGACATCCCCTTACCATTGAGTTTAGAGGCTCTGGTCCACTCACTTAATATTAATGAGACAAACATTGCTATTAATAAGCAAGTTACATCCGAAACTAATAATAATAACAGTAATGAATTGTCAAATGAGATAATCAATGGCTTGGAACTGGCTGTAATCATACACCCGTCCACTCAACACTCGTTTATAAACTTTAATGGTCTCAACAAATATGAATTCAATTGTTTGAATGAGTTGTTGAGTGCCCTGAGCCAAATGGGAAGGATTCCGTACATGAATTGTAATATGCCTTCCGTTAGGAATACCTTTAATTCAATGGAAGAGATCATGAAATACTGGACAATAAATTTTGATCCGTATATATCACTCATTGTTGACACCATTCAAAAGTTAAGTGGTTTTCAAGAAATGTGTCTCAACGACCAAATAGCCCTGATCAAGTATGGGTGCTTGGAATTTAAGATATTGAGAGCAGCCCTCTACTTTAATTATGAATACCAGTATTGGGCGCTTAAGGTATGTCCACCACTTTTTCTTAATTCTTCATTTATTAATACTAAATAATTTTCTTAATTGCTATTTACTTTGGTAGTATATGATGTAGTAAATAAATAAAAAGGTATTTAATCTATGTATTCATATAATTACAGGATAATAACGATACAATTAAAGCGAATTTAAGCATGTTCAAAAATTACAAACAAAATAACTCGTATAATATGTTAAAGAAATTTTTGTTAAGAGTTGCCAATGAGTTAGACTGCGATCATCTCATACTTATCTTGGTATTTATAATGAATAACATATTAGTATTTTGAATAACAATTAAATTTAGTTGAAAATAATTTTCACAGTTAATGCCTATAATACTATTCAATCCGGAGAGACCACACATTATGCACAAGGAAGTGGTTATGTATGCAAACAATTATATTTATGTTATCAAATTGTTTTGTAATATTTGTTATACTGTATAACAGACTTCAACGGAAATTATACGTGTATTTATTGCAACGATATTTAAGCATAAAGTATGGATCCGAAAGTAAAGTGAAATCTAAATTCCTAAGTATTTATCATGTTATACATGATATTCATAAATTAAAAGAATTGTACAAGCAAAATATTACAATTGTAAGCTCCGAGTATTATGGGCCACTATTAATAGAGATTCTCGACTTCCAGTCTAATTATACTCAGCATATTATGTAAAATTAAATTATGTAATCAATATTAATTTGTAAATAATACAAACTAAGTTACCTCAATCTTAACGTAAATAATGTTATAAATTGAATGTTTAATTAAATATTAAATTTATATCATGTCAAACTCTGTAAATTAATGTACTTATGAATTTGTTAGAATTTAATACAAAAAATAGTACTGTAGCTAAAATTATTGTATATAAAGTACCTAATTTAAATTCTACATTTACATCGAAAGTCTCTACTGATTGGACAGGGCGATTGCAACACGTCATGAATTAAATAAACAGACTCTGATCATAAAGTGTATTAGTTTAATATTGAAAGTAACTTTCAAAACATGTTTATTACGAGTTTTGTATGAAGTCTATGGTGTAGTGCTTTAGTGCATTCATAACATTTGATAGACAATGCACTTAACATGTACTAAACGAACTAAATCTACTTGTTATACAATTTAAAAATAAATATATTACTTTTAAATCATACCTTGATTAAAATGTATAAAAATGTCAACTAAATCAAAAATATGTGTTGTGTGCGGAGAATGGGCTAAAGGTAACAAATTAACAATCATTTGAAATAATAAATAAATATAATACACCATAATACATGTATATTGTGAATCATGTAAATAAAACTAAACTAACCCTGATTGCAGGCAATAATTTTGGTGTCATTACATGTCAATCGTGTAAAGCATTCTTCCGGAGAAATGCCAACAAATCCAATGTATGATAAAAATTAATTTACAAACAATTTACCAATTTGATTGATCACATTGTTTTGTATCATGGTCATAAATACTTTCTATACAGCGGTTTAAGTGTGAATCGGACGAGGATTGTAATATAAATGTCTTAAACCGAAAATCATGCAAAAAGTGTCGACTCAATAAGTGCTTTGCCGTAGGAATGAGAAAGGTACTAATAAAATAAATATTCAATTAAATTATTATTGTAAACAAGGTATTTATCAATAAGATATTGTTTGCATTGACAGGAATGGATACTGAATGAGGAGGAAAGGCATTTGAGGCGTAAACAGATCGAGGAGAACAGGATTAGGAAACTCAACAAGTCTTACACCAGTAGTAAACCTATTAAAGGGACAGTTAGTCAGGAATCGGACGACTCGTCAGACTCTTCATTGTCATCACTATTAGCCGACAATACAATCAATTCAATCAGCGATGAGGAGATGTGTGAATATATTATGCAAATCGAGAATTTCTGCTCAAATGAATCCGTGGATGAAAATAATATTAACATAACTAACGGTGCGAACAGTGCGGACATACCCTTACCGTTGAGTTTGGAGACAATTGTCGAGTCGCTGGATATTTATGAGACAAATGCAAAAACTAATGAACAAATTGTCGGAAACTTTACCGAAGTTTCAAACTCTAGTGAATCTAACGCTACAAATGAATCTGAAAACCTTAATGAAGTGGACAGTGGCCTGGAAATGGCGTTAATCATACACCCGTCCACTCACCAGCCCTTGACTGACTTGAATAGTCTCAACAAACATGAGTTCAATTGTCTGAAGGAGTTGTTGAGTGCCTTGAGCCAAATGGGACGCATACCGTTCATGAATTGTAACGTCAATTCCGTTAGGAATGCCTTCAATTCGGTGGAGGAGCTCATGAACTACTCGATCAACAAGTTTGACGCATATATCGCCGAAATTATTGCCACTATTAAGAGGTTGAGTGGCTTTCAGAGCATTTGCTTCAACGATCAGATTGCCCTGATCAAGTATGGCTGTATGGAAATCAAAATGCTCAGGGCAGCCTTGTTTTTTAATTATGAGTACCAGTGCTGGGCTTTTGAGGTTTGTTAACACATATAACAGTATATTTATAAATTTGTTAAACTCAACATAATTATGTTTATTCAATGAATATTTAATAATTTATATTAGTATTATCTTGTTTATGTTAGTAGATTGTGTTAATTGCTATTGATATTTGTTGTATAAATATTTATAAGTTATTTATCTAAACTTTGTCTTTTTTCATTACAGGATAATAACGACACAATTAAACTGAATTTGAATTTATTTAAGAGTTTCAAAGACAATAATACATACAATGTGTTGAAGAAATATCTGTTAAGAGTTGCCAATGAGTTAGACTGCGATCAACTCATACTTATCCTGGTATTAATAATAAATATTATTATTATTTTTTAAATTTTACATTAATTGACTTATAAATAATTTTGACAGTTAATGCCTATAATACTATTCAATCCGGAGAGACCACACATTATGCACAAAGAAGTGATTATGTATGCATTAATGCTATTAATTTGTATTTTATTTATGATTTTTAATAAATAATTTCATCTGTTTATCGCAGACTTCAGCAACAAATATATGTCTATATTTTGCAAAGATATCTGAGAATAAAATATGGTTCAGAAAGTAAAGTGAAGACTAAATTCTTGAGGATTTTCAATGTCTTACATGATATCCAAAAGTTACAAGAGTTGCACCGACAAAACTTCAAGATTATAAGCCCTGATAAATATGGACCACTTTTGAAGGAGATTCTTGATGTCCCGGCTACTTATACAGCGCTATGCGCCTAATTATGCTCATCATATCATTATAAATATTATACTCATTGTTTAATTCTCATAATTTGTGGTCACATTAATATTACTGCCATATATATTGTAAATAAAACAGTTTTAATTAAAATTAAGATTTTAAAAATGCCTATTATTTAAATAGTCAACATTAGGGTGGCTACTAAAAGTAATTATGTTTAACACAAAAAATGATTTTTATTAAATGGTGTTGAGGGTAAGCTAATTTCATACAAAATATATTATTTCAAAAACATATCTGTTAGAGTTGTTGGTACTTAAAACAGCAATTAATTTCGTGTTTTGTTAGTTATTAAATTGTAAATAAGTTATAAGTTTATCTATAATATCCTAAACGTTAAACATAATGAATAAGTTCAAGTCAACATTCTTCGCGATTGCAGTAAATTTGGTGCTTTTTGTGCTTTTAATGATTACAGAGCTCACCATTGCTTCGGACCAAAGTGTGAACTCTTCGGACATATTTAACGCCGAGTGTCTCAAAAGTCATAACACATTCCGAGGCAAACATAAGGACACAAAAGCGGTCGGAATTAATAAAAAATTGATGACATCTGCGGCCAAATGTGCGACAACTCTGGCCGAGACTAACCTATTCCGTCACAGCAAAGACGCCGGTCTACTGTATGGCGAAAATCAATGGCTGGCATTAGTCTCGACCAAAGCGGGCACTAAAGGGATATACGATAGGCTGACCTGCAATGAGGTGATCGCATCGTGGCACAGGGAGCAAACACTTTACAACTACACAACTACAAAAGGCGGGCCCCCGAAGAATATTGAACAGGTCGGACACTTCACTCAACTCGTTTGGAGGGGTAGTAAGGAAATAGGATGTGCTAAGTCCATGCGTGAGAAAGATAGCAAGGTATATTTGGTGTGTCACTATCTGGCCGTTGGTAATATACCCGGAAAATACTCCGATAATNGCAAGGTATATTTGGTGTGTCACTATCTGGCCGTTGGTAATATACCCGGAAAATACTCCGATAATGTTAAGCCCGAAAAATAACTTATAGTTAGCTGTCTATTTCCATTTTATATTGTAAACTCATAATATTATTTTTAATTTATGGTAAAGTCAATGATTAACCAATGTTTTATTTTGATATTTATTAATTTATAATTATTTTCATTTCGAGTATCATTTTTTTAAGATTAATCGTTGGTTTAATTATTTGAATCGATTAGACATTTGCGGCGAAATTCTTATAATTACGGATAAAATGCAATAAATTGTTCACTGATTGCTGACACTCTTAGAAAGCATTGACTAAACCCACGATTGAGGCAATCATGACAAACCACATCCACAAGGATTGCTGGCTAACCACAGCACTGCTTACTGTTAAGAATTGCGGATCATTTGGATCCGTCTGCAGAGACCATCCGACCGGGTTGTGCGCCAAGATCTTCATCGAGTGCTGACCCGATGGTACCTCCACTACGATGTCGTATGTGTTGTTAGCCAATGGATTTCGGTTGGCTTCAAATACAATCAAATGTGTTACTAAAATGTAATATTAGTCAAGTGTTCCTAATATTGTGAGAATGTCCGCAACTTTATTTACACAACAAACAGTCTTTAAAGGTTAAACATTCATAGTTAGCCACCGAGTTGAGAACACAGTAATTGACAGTGATGCAAAACTCCTACAAACATATCATTGAATAGGTATTTCATGAATTGTGATAATAGACAGTGAGTCTGATGTGGATGAATACCTTGTTCATATGAGTAGTTCCGCTCTTACCCAACAAGCCCTTCAAAAGGCTGTAAGTTGAGCTTTCACTAAGAGAGAAGAGGCTACCATAAGGACCGGAATGTGACCTTAACAGAGCTCACCGGCAAGCCCAGTAAGTTAAACAAGCTAATTTTGCCGATATTCTCGTATTCAAGAGACAAAACACTTAGATTCTCAGTGTTTATGATTCTGTGCTTAACATCCAGACCGCCTGAAAAAAGTCATTATAAATCAATCAAATTTATTACTGAATATTATATTACATTATATGACATTCAACAATATACTGTATATACTGCACAGTAACAAGTGAATATTTGTACAAATTACATGTTAAAACTAATGATAACAAAGCATCGATTACCATTATGAGACAGTTACCCTCTTGGTGCAGGACACTTGGTAACCTTGAGACGCTACCCCAGCCGCAAGTGTTCTGTACAGTGCAAATGTTACTGTCCTCTAACCCAGAGTAGACTTTGGGTTTGTAAAGAAACCGTGTTTTCTGGGAAGCGAGGCTTAACTGCAATTCAATGAATTCGTATAACAATCTAACCATAAGACAAATTATGAGAACAATCCGAATGTAACTTGAGACTCTAATTACAGATATGAGAAGTACAGACACTCCTTTCCCAACCGCATTTGGCTAAGTGTGCATATCTGCGGAAGTAAGAGAAACTAGTTAGAAAACTTCGGCTCACTACTTCTGATTGTCTTCTGAGTGACAGACTGTTCCACTCGAGATCTAACCGTAAAGTCCTTGTCGTCTTCGGTTCAATTCAAGTCATTTCATTAGTTATCATCAATTATTGCTATTTGCCAACAATTCATGCATTATTCTGTTTTAAGTCAGCAATTCATATGACATGCATTTGAATATTATTTTAGACTTAAGAGACAATTCATAGACAATATAGTGGTGAGTATTGAGACAAACCGTCTACAATGCGAATATTGTTGTGAATCCATGAGACCTGTGCTTCAGTGGCCTCGCGGTCAGAATCAAACTTAGAGAAGCATAACATTGTGAAGGCATCCCCTTCTGTGCCCACATAAGTATCTTCGTTTCCTGTAATGTATCAAAAATGCACATTAATTGGACTCTTAATTAATTCTTGGGAACTAAGAATTGGATATGAATTTATGTATGGAAGGCAAAGTTATCTTAACATTTGAAAATCGAGTTTAAACAGGCTTCTTTAGTGAAATAATAGGAAATCCTGTATTTCACAGTCAAAATTAAGATTGCAAAATGAGTTTATCAATTATTATAAAACCTTAGTTTGTCTGCACTCATAGAATCCCGAATTTCGTTTGGGAACATTCACCAGGGACAGTTTCACCGAATCAGCTCCATGTTGCTGGTATACAGGGGCCTCACTGTTGTCCTCAATTGGTTCATGTCTGCCCACGTGATACCAATTAAGTACTCCTTTTAACCACAATATACAGTATGTGAGACAATGTCTTACAGAAGCGTAATACTCGTGTTAATGGGAGTAAAACTAACCCTAGGAAGTCTGTATACTGTTTGTCACAGACAGCCAAGGTTTACCGGAATTGGAAGAGGACCCCGACATAAGATTGCGGAAAGGTAAGTTAAGTTGCGTTTGTTAATATAATTGTAATGAATATAAAGATCAATAAAAATGAAGACTTACTCCAAACCAATGATTGTAATGAAGAAATAATCATAAAAATGAGACAAAAAATAGCGTTTGTTCGCGAATTATAGCTAAAACTGACTATCGATCTAAACTTCATAATTGTTGAGCAAATTTGTATTATTATTGTTACTAATGAATAGGATTACACTCTGAATGAATGAAGTTTCGCCCAAATGTCTCGCAATTCAATGTTTAATAAATTATTTGTTGGAAACAATTTATACCATTAATTGAGAGGAACTGAAAACAAGAGACAAATATTTGAATGTAAGCCAAGTATATGAAGAATTATAGATATGAATAGCAATTATTGAATCCAATTCTTAATACGAATTATGTTTCCAATAATACACTTATCAATTTCTTAAATTCAATCAAATAGAGTAATAATAAAATCATTTACTAAACATCATTTACAGAGTATTGGTATCATATATGCATTTGACTCATATCTGCTGCATTGATGGAATATACAGTATAATTAACAATAAATAAATATCATAATATGATATATATTATAAACTAACAACTATTTAACATTGAAAACTCTATACCCATTGGAGGAAAATGAAATCATTTATTATATTAATTATCACACATTTTATACACAACCTATGATTATAGATAATTACAACTACTAAATGTATTAGTATATCTTAAGTTAGACTCAACTAAAGATCATGTAACAATATTTATGTAATATTGGAGTCAGCTACTCAAATAAATATCATCTATGATTCATGTGAATGATTTCCACTATATTATTGCCAATATTCAATTTATTGAATTTTAAAATATACATTGATTAGTGATTTTATCAAGAAATATTGTTATTAATAATTAATCAGCAATTTTAATCGGCAATAAGCAATGTCAAAAAGAGTTTGTTTGGTTTGTGGTGTCAGCGCTAATGGTATGTTTTTTACTAATGTAATAGATAATTAAATATGAACCTGTATATTTAGGCATCAATTTCTGTGCGCTCACGTGCCAGTCCTGTAAGGCTTTCTTCAGGAGGAATGCCCACAAACAAGAGGTTCAATAATATTTATAATTTATAAATAAATGTCTAATTATGACAAACTGGTACCAAAAGTACAAGTGTAGGTTTGGAGACAATTGTGTGATTACTGAAGAATCGCGAAAATTGTGTCAAAAATGTCGGCTCAAGAAATGTTTCGCAGTCGGCATGAAAAAAGTAATTCATTTCTAATTGAATTGAATATAAAATAATTAAATAATATATGAATATAATTGAAGGAATGGATACTGAATGAGGAGGAGAAGGAGTATAGGCGACAACGGATTGAGGAGAACCGCAAATATAGAGAAATGTGTTTCAATCAGGCATCACATGATGTCCCAGAAGTTGACAAAACTGTAAATTCCGACTCAAATGCCAATTCATGGGATGACATAAACAATCAACAAATCAATGAATATATCAATCAAATCGAGAATTACATAACTAATGATGAAAGCAGTGATTTTCATGAATCAATCGGTGATAATATAATTATCAAACCCATTATCGATGGAAACAATCTGGATGACAAGGATATATGTACAGATAAAATACCTGGACACACTGGCACTACTAATACAGTGGGTACTAGCAGTAATATTATAATTAATGCTGAAAACAATAATTACAGTATTGACCAAGATTGTCAAATAGCTATCAGATTATGCACCAGTAATATAATGCATGAATTAATGGATTTAAACAGTTTTAATGAGTTTGAATACAAACGCTTGAATGAATTGTTTAGCGGTTTAAATGATAGGCAGATTCGGTTGATCAGTGAAAGGGAACCGACCCTGACAATTCCCAAGTTTAATACCGTTCATGAGCTCATGGCGTACGATGTTATTAATTTTAATCAATATATTGAGCACTATATTCAAACAGCTATGAAATTAAGTGGATTTAAAAGCACTTGCATTAATGATCAAATAGCCCTGGTCAAATATAGCTTCATTGAAATGCAGATATTAAAAGCTGCCCTACACTATAACTCCTACAAGAAGTGTTGGACTATTGAAACGGTATGCAAATGTGTAAAATAAATATGAATAATAATTTAATTTTATTATTCACTATTATGCACTATATTATTATTAATAGGACAAAAATACTTCATATGTATTAACATTGGATTTGCTAAAAGGTTTCGGGAAAAATATGAGCAAGTTATTGGAATGTGTGCTAAACACATTATCCACTGAATTTAACAATGACCTCCACATTGTTCAATTGGTATTTATTAGGAAAACTTATTTAGTCTTATTTTAATTATTAATAATAATTTTAATTGTATGTTAACAGATAATGCCCATATTACTATTTAATCCCGAGAGACCAAACATTATAAATAGGGATATGATCGAGTAAGTAATTTACTCTACAATATAATATATTATAATTAATTATTATTATTATTATATATATTATATTATAATTTAATTCGTAATGATTTGAGTTTTACGTTTATTTGTGTCAATTGTTTAGATTGCAACAACAGTTGTACATATATTTACTTCAGAAATATTTGAGTCTAAAGTATGGTTTTGCGTGCGAAACGAAACTTTCAAGAATATCATATATTCTGCAACACATTCATATGTTAAGCGAATTACATAAACAAAACTACCTTGCTATAAAATCTGAGATTTGCGGACCACTACTCAAAGAGATACTCGAATAGCATTGAAATTTATGGATAAACTTATAAACTTTTTTAATGTTTACCACAATTTTATTTATACAGTTACTTCAAATTTACACAATAGTCCAATAATAAATTGTTAAGTTATGTACAAATTACAATAAAATCACTTTAACATTAAACCTAAAACTGACTAATTCATGCTATTGCAATAAATTCACAACAATGATTGACAAACATTATAACAGAATTATATATTTATACATTGTAGACGTATACCCTTTTCATATTATTGTTCATAACTTATGAATCATAAGATATCCATGAACTAGGAGATAACATAACTCCAATTATTTACAATATCACTGTATATTATTGCACTGATTTATTATAAATAAATTGCCATTTTATAATTCAAATGAAGAATTTAAGAATTTAACTTGTTTTGTTTTATAATAATTATTAATTAATTAAATAAATGTCTAATGACATAAATTTATGTTTGGTTTGTGGTGCTAAAGCTAATGGTATTTGATTCATTTATTTCAATTCATTTAAGTATCCCTATTGAAAGTACCAGTATTTTAATTTATTTATTTATTAGGCATCAACTTCTGTGCCATTACTTGTCAGTCATGCAAAGCATTCTTCAGGAGGAATGCCTACAATTTTGAGGTAAAACTAATTTTCACATTATAATAACTA